ACCCCAAGCCAGAGACCATCTCTGACCTTCGTAAGTTTTTGGGAATGCTCAATTATTACCGTCGCTGTATTCCAAAGGCCGCTGAACTTCAAGCCCCTCTCAATGCATTTATGAAGGGTGCCAAGAAAAAAGACAAACGGCCCATCCCTTGGACACCCAGCTCAGAGAAGGCCTACCAAGACTGTGTAGAAAGCATTGTCAAAGCGACTTGTACCAGCTTCATCTCACCCTCTGCAAGTCTCGCACTCGTCACTGATGCCTCGGACTTCGCCATTGGAGCTGCACTTGAACAGCTGATCGACGACTGCTGGAAGCCCATAGGTTTTTTTTCCCGCAAGTTGAGTCCCACCGAAACGCGATACAGCACCTACGATCGCGAGCTGCTAGCGATTTTCGCTGCAATAAAGTTCTTTCGTCACCAGCTGGAAGGACGCCAGTTCATCATCAAAACTGATCATCGCCCACTGGTATACGTCTTTGCTCAGCGCGCTGAAAAAGCATCCCCCAGACAGCTCCATCAACTGGACTTTATTTCACAATTCAGCACAGAAATCGTCTATGTCAAGGGAGAACAAAACGCCGTTGCTGACGTCCTGTCTAGTATTAACGCTATCTCCATGCCAACGTCACTGTCTCCTAAAGCCATCGAAGCCGCACAGCTTGAAGACCAAGATACGCCACAAGAATCATCGCTCAATCTGCAACAGCTTGTTATTGAAAACGCCAACGTCCTCTGTGATATCTCTTCAGATCGCATCAGACCCTACATTCCGACAAGTCTCCGACGCAAAGCTTTTGATGTTGTGCATGGTTTGGCACACCCCAGCGGCCGAGTCACTGCTCAAAGCCTCAAAGAAAAATTTGTTTGGCCTGGAATCAAGAAGGACGCCCTCCAGTGGTCCCGCCAATGCAATCAGTGTCAAAAATCCAAAATTCAACGACACAATCGTCTCGCACCACAGCACATCACCGTACCTGACAACAGATTCGAGCATATTCACCTAGACCTCATCATTTTACCACCAGTCAACAAATTTCGTTACTGCTTAACCATAATTGATCGATTTTCTAGATGGCCTGTTGCAGTACCCCTCCAGAACATGGAAGCTGACACCGTCTCGTCTGCTCTCTATATCAATTGGAATTGCAACTACGGAACGCCACTATCCATCACAACTGACCAGGGCACGCAATTTGAATCTTCACTATTTTCGGCTCTTGCACGCCTTGTAGGAGCGCGGGTAATCCACACCACGCCCTATCACCCGCAGTCCAATGGCATCGTAGAGCGCTTCCATAGGACTTTGAAGGCAGCCCTTATGTGTCAAGCACCCACGCCCTGGACGGAAGTGTGAAGGCAGCCCTTATGTGTCAAGCACCCACGCCCTGGACGGAAGTGCTTCCGACCGTTCTTCTGGGTCTGCGTACGTGCCTGAAAGAAGACCTGAATGCCTCACCAGCGGAGCTCCTTTATGGGACACCCCTGGGTATACCTGGTGAATTCTTCACCTCTGAGTCACCCCCAGCTGATCCCCAAGTCTTCCTCGAAAAATACCGGGACCACATCAGGAAAGTCCGCCCAACACCTACGGCTCACCATATCAAATCTCGCTGCTTCATCCTCAAGGACCTCGCAACTTGCAGTCATGTCTTCCGCCGAGTGGACTTTGTTCGTCGCCCGCTCGAACCGCCCTACACTGGCCCGCATGAAGTCGTCAAGAGAATAAATGACCGAGTGTACAGCATTCGAATCAATGGCGTTGAGAAGACTGTCTCTGTGGACGCCCTGAAGCCAGCCTACACCCTTAAACCCGATACCGTTTCATCCACCCTGGAGAATCACCCAGCGTCATCCTTCACCATGGACCGCCCTCTTCGCACTTACTCAAAAAAGAAGGTTTCGTTCCTCCCACAAGTGGCTTCGTCACTGGGAGGGGAGTAGATGTGGCGTCATTGTTCCGCGAGTCCGTTGTCTACAACCCTGGCGGCCTGACGTGACGTGACAGAAGACAGCTGTCCCAGGTTGTTGCCGCGCAATTATGATATCGTGTTGTTGTTGTTAACAAAATAAAGTATTTCGATTTATTTGTATGTTCAGTGCCCAGAATTAAACCGAGTTATTAGTAAAACAGTGTTTTCATTCGCTGGTGATATATCAAGCAAACACATAGCAGTAGTAGCTATAAAATTTTGAATTAATTTTTTTTTTGAAAGTTGACAGCACTTTGTTTATAGTTTTTCCATGGTAATTTAGCGAAAAACAATAATTTTATCACAAAAAATACTTCAAATTGTTATTAAAAGTTACCTAAAGTTTGGGATGGGGCATTATTATGGAAATGAGTGATAACGAAGAATTTTCACTGACACCTCCAGAAATTACATTAAGGGCGACAAATGCAGGAAATAATATACTACCGGACAAGTCCAAGAAAATTTACCAAAAATTATATGGACAATTTATGGATTGGTGAAACACCAAAAACACATAGTCCTTCTCAGAAAATGTTTTGATAGTATATTTTGAAGAATTACAACAAAAAATGAAACCTTCAACTGTATGGACGCATTACTCAATTATAAAATCTCTATTCAAAGTTTAGCATAATGTTGACATATCTAAATATCATAAGTTTTATCAATGGCAGTAGAAAAAATAGTGTATGCAACTCTCATGTAATGGCCATTAATACACTCGCATGTTATATACGAAATTCGCCTGCGGCTCGTTTCGTATCCTACAACATACTCGTGTATTAATGGCTATCATTACATGATCATTGCATAATATACTATTACGCACTCAAAAGTCACTTTTACGCATTCAAAAGTCACTTTTACGCACTGAGTGCTTAAAAGTAACTTCCACGCACTCAGTGCTTAAAAGAATGTCGTTTCAAAACTAAAATGACAATCGAAAAGTTGCTATTATGAAACGTCAGTAGAAAAAATTAATTTTCAAATTAGCCACTGTTATAGTAAATAAATTTATTGTTTAGGGCGGGTATTATAAAACTACTTTGAGAGTTAACTTAAAGTTAACTTCTGAAATTACATGTAATTCAAAAAGTTAACTGTCAAAGCAGTTTTATAATACCCGCCCTTAGTATCATGTTAGAGTAGTTCGAACAATCACAATCGAAGTATTGCAAACAGTTAGTGCAGATGGAACAGAAATTAAAGCAATTGAAACACTTAGAGTAACTCGAACAACAGAAGGAATTTGAGAAAATAGTTATTTGTTTTACTAGGCAGAAAAGTACAAGATTTAATGCCGCGGCTGGTGTTTCATAGCCGAGGCTAGGAAACCAGCCGAGGCATTAAATTTGCTTTTCTGCCATGTAAAACATATAATTTTTTCTCCGAATATTCAAATTTACACATGGACATTTTTTTTATATTTATTTCATTCATTATTTTTATCCAAATAATTAAATTATTTTGATAATTGTCACTGTCACCATCAATTTCAAATACCAAATTGAGTAAAAATTGTTACCTGGAAAGCTGTGACACGGTCACTTTTAATGCCTAGGCAGTAAAAGTCCACTTTTACTGCCTAGGCAGTAAAAATACAACTTTTGATCCTGTCAAGTGTTATTAACAGGCCGCTTTTACTGTCATTCGGAGAAAAAAAATTATTTTGTACTAAATTTAAAAATAGAATTTATGCAGTTGAAATGCTTAGAGTAATTTAAATCGAGTTAGTGCAAATGGAACAGAATTAGAACAGTCGAAGTAGTTCGGACAGATGAACAGATCAAAAAGGAGTCAGTGCACTTGGAAAGTCAGAGTAGGATTACTAAAAACCCAAAATTAATTTTTAAACCAGCCTATTGTTATAGTAAATAAATTCATTGATTAGTAACATAATAGAGTAGTTCGAATAGTAACAACCAGAGCAGTGCGAACAGAACAGAGCTAGTGCAGATGAAACAGAAATTCAGAGCAGTGCAAACAGAACAGAGTTAGTGTGGATGGAACAAAAGTTAAAGCAATTGGAACACTTAGAGTAAATCGAATAATAGAGGGAATTTAAATTTTTTTTTGCAGATGGAATGCTTAGAGTAATTTAGATCGAGTTAGTGTAAATGGAACAGTCATAGTATAATTACTAAAAACCCAAAACAGCTCCGGGGCGTTACGTGCCCATCCTTTTCAAAAAGTGTTTGTTGCACCTTGCACCACGTAATCACGCATCTTTTCCTTTCAAATCGGGAGGCGACTAACACCGGAGGCGAGTAATTCGAGTGTTCCAACCTCTTGAAAGGAATACAACTATTGATTAGTAGTATAATGGAGTAATTCGAACAGTAACAATCAGAATAGTACAAAGTACAGAGTTAGTTTAAATGGAACAGAAATATGAATACGCAAGGATGATACACACTTAAGGATTGCTTATCGGCCTTGTCTTTGGTAATCGCCGCCTTTGGTGTGTCACCATTTTCGACGTCATAACTAAGTCGTCAGCTATTTAAACAGCCTACTTCAAGGCCTGAAATAACAATAATATGCTGCCTACGTCACAACTGGTGATTTAGTTTTGGGGGCAAAGGGGAATTTGTTCTACACAGGCTTTATGAGTATCATCCCTGATGAACACGGGCCTAAAAATTTGTTCGGAGCAGAATCAAATCCTGAACTGGTTTCATCAGCGTACGTGTTCTATGACATTCCATAGCTAGATTAGTATTGGTTCGGAATGTTTTACTAAAATCGGTTCTGGAACTGATTTCTTGGTTTCTTTGCTATTTATACAATAAAAATCGATTTCTGATAGATTCTAGACTAGTTTATCTAGTTCTGAGGATTCAACAAGAACCATGTGTTGTTTCAGTACAACCTTGAACTGATTCATAATTTATCATGCACACGCTTTACTCTAGAACAATCTTGGATTATTTTTTGAACCGTTTCGCAGTGTAAACCAAGAACGGAGCTATTTTTGTTTGTTTTTTTTGCTCTGGGATGAAAGCGCTACGAAAATTAAAGGTCAAATCAACATAACCTTAAAAAATATTGACATGTGTTTTTCAAATATTTAAATATTAAATTTTAATTATTTCCAATAATTTAATCCAAGGTAAGGCCCCAATAATCATTTATCAAACCCATTGACCATTATTTGACTCATTATTTTAGATGCCGAAAGTCAGTTCCATCGGGGGCCCGCCCCGCCGACAGGGTTTCAACAAATCCGGCCACTCGATGAACCCGGAACGGTCCAAAGAAGGCCTAAAAGGCGTGGCCAAGCCCCGTACCAAAGGAACCATCAAACGTTTGCAAATGTACCGAAACTTCAAGGCAAAGCGTGATAGAAAGGGGCACATCATAATGCCAGCCCCATTTCAAGGCTGGCTCCCATCTGGAACCCAAGCCCGAGTGGAACCTAGTCAGAGATGGTTCGGAAATAGTCGGGTGATATCGCAGAATGCTTTGCAAAAGTTTCAAACTGAATTGGGGGCTGCTATTAAGAATCCGTATCAGGTTGTAATGAAACCGACTAATTTGCCTATTACTTTGCTGAATGAAAAAGCTAAAAATGCTCGAGTGCATTTATTGGAAACTGAAAGTTTTGAGAGTGTTTTTGGGCCTAAAAAGAGCCGCAAGAGGCCTAATATTGCTGTAAGAGGATTAGAAGAGCTTACGGAACGTGCTAGCAAAAACGAAGATGAGTATAGTAATGAAAAAGATTCAAACATTGTAAGGGATGATGGAGGAGTCAAAGATATGCCTAGGGATTGGGTAATGGCAGCTGGACAATCACGTAGAATTTGGAACGAGCTATACAAAGTTGTAGACAGTTCAGATGTTTTGCTGCAAACATTAGACGCAAGGGACCCTATGGGTACAAGATCAGCCTATTTAGAAAAGTATTTAAAAACTGAAAAACCTCATAAGCATCTTATTTTTATTTTAAACAAAGTTGATTTGGTACCTACTTGGGTAACTCAAAGATGGGTTGCAATTTTGAGTAAAGAATATCCAACTGTTGCATTTCATGCCAGCATTACACATCCTTTTGGTAAAGGCTCTTTAATAAATCTTCTAAGACAATTTGCAAAACTTCACATAGACAAAAAGCAGATTTCTGTTGGTTTTATTGGTTACCCAAATGTGGGTAAATCCTCTGTCATTAATACTTTGCGAAGCAAAAAGGTTTGTAAAGTAGCTCCAATCGCTGGTGAAACTAAAGTCTGGCAATATATTACTTTAATGAAAAGGATTTATTTGATTGATTGTCCCGGAGTTGTGTATCCTTCAGCTGAAACCGACACAGAAAAAGTCCTAAAAGGTGTAGTACGTGTTGAGCTTGTAAATAATCCCGAAGACTACATTAGCTCAGTATTAGAGCGAGTAAAAAAAGAATATTTAATTAAAACTTATAAAATTGACGATTGGCAAGATCATGTTGATTTTCTGGAAAAAATGGCAAGAAGATCTGGAAGGTTGTTAAAAGGTGGCGAACCTGATATTACCAGTGTTGCCAAAATGGTCTTGAATGATTGGCAAAGAGGCAAATTGCCTTTTTATGTTTGCCCTCCTGGATTTGAAGTGCCACTGACCAAACAACCAACCGAAGATAATAATATAAGCGTAGTACAAGACTTTAGAAAAATCAGAGTTGGATTGACTTATGAAGGGGAAGATGTCAAACAATTAGATCCAATTGAAGAAGTTCAAAAAGATGACAAAGACACAGAAAAATCATCTGTTGATATTGATGATACTAATAATGATGATGATGATGCAAATAATTCTGATAGTTCATCAGAAATGAGTTTCTATTCAGATATGGATGAGAGTTACAAAGAGTTGGAAACAGCTGTTTCAGCCAGTGGAGATTTCCAAGTGGAGAAAGTGGGGAAAAAGTTGACCAGCAAGCAAAAGAGGGCCCAAGATAGGGCAGTGAAACGTAAAAGAATTGGAAGCAACTTTTACGAAGTTACCAACGTTAAGAATAGGAATAGGAGTAAAAAGAAGACAATTGTTAATAAGAAATAATTTTGTTTTCAATATACAAATTTTTTTTTTTAAATTATTTTTTGTTTTTATGTAGAATTTTTGCTTATTTGCTCTTTTTTAGGTGACATTATCATAAAAAAATATGAAAAAATCTCTAAGTTGGCAACATTGTAAAAGTCGGTAATAGAATATTGCAGTTTTCTGTAACACTTTTCCAATGCGAGGGGTCAATGGAAATTCAATTTAATAGTAAATTCTCAATAATTTTCAATTAATTTGTATTATTTTCAATTATTTGATGATCTAATTTAAGTGCACTGAGTTTTGAAAAAAAATATGGCAACACTGCTTAAGACACACCAAAGTTAAAAAAATTGACATTTCAAAGTAGGTCTTTGGTCCTTTTTTTTGATTCGCGTCGAACCTGTTAAACCGACAATCGATAAAAATCATGGTTGTTTTCGAGGCCTACTTGGTTTAACAGTTGGTTTCAGAATGACGTCTTTCTAACCTCTTGGGGCCTCAATTGTCAATAATACCTATTAAATCAAAAATGCAGCAACCCTGACAAATGCAGCAACCTTAGTACAAACATCAAAACATTTTGACGTTTCGCAAAGTAGGCCTTGTCATTTTTGACAGTTGGCGAATTCAAAAAGGCGTTTTTTTCTTTTGTGGGTCCTCTTTTTTGGCTCGGGAGTCGAGGCCCCATTTTTTGAATAAATTTCAGTAGATTGTTGATAATTTCCAAAAATGCAGCAATAAAACGTAAAAAAAATGACGTTTCAAAGAAGGCCTTGTAATTTTTCGACAGGTAATTCAAAATGGCGTCTTTTTGTTTTGATGGCTCTCCTTTTTCGTTTCGGGGCCCTGTTGCTCTTGTTTTTCGGGTAAATTTATAGAGTTTTTCAAGTACAAAGGGGCGACAAAACCCTCTAAATAAAACATCTAACTAAATCAATAAATCTAAAACCTAAAAAAAACCCAATAGAAAATGACATTTCAAAACCTACTTGATAAAACTAAAGTTTTCATTATTTACCCCCTTGAGAAACTGGAAATTTTTGGCAAAAAATGAAAAAAATTCAAAGCCTGGCACTTTAAATCAGTTTTACTGATTGAAAAAGCCTTGGAAAAGCGGAAAATTCGATGAAAAACTGGATAAAGACACTCAAATTGGTCAACTGTCAAAAGTGGCAAATAACATTACATTACCAGGCCTACTCGATTGAAAGCGACGTTGCCACAATTACGATCTCAAACAGAATTTTTTTCCTTATTTTTTGATGGTTTTTCATCCTGAAAAATTAACAAATTTTCATTTTTATTGTTGATTTGATTGTATTTTTTGCAAAAACAGTGATTATAGTGAGTAAGACAAAGAAGGATACATTTGAAAAAACAGCAAATGCAAATATTGTGTTTGGTTTGTCTAAAAGTCTCCCTCCTCTAAAACCACTGATTTTTGATTGAAAAGGTCCTAGAAAAGCGGAACATGCAAAGAACCGATGGAAAATGACATTCCAAAACCTACTTGATATAACTAAAGTTTTCGTTAGGTACCTACTTGAAAAATTGAAAATTTTTGGCAGAAAATGAAGAATTGGTGACGTTACAGGGCTTACTTCATTGAAAGCGACGTTGCCACAATTACAAACTCGAACATAATGTTTTCCCATATTTTAGTGAACAAGATAAGGTAGGATATATTTGCAAAAACACTGAATGCGATTATAAATGACTAATGAGTAAAACAAAGAGGGAGATAAAGTAGGATGCATTTAAGTGCTCAGTTTGTGTAAAAGATGCAAATTCAAACCTTTAAAACCACAGTTTTCTGATAACAAAGGCCCAGGAAAAGCGAAAAATCTAAAGATGCCTTATAGGCTTCTAACTGAACAAGGCGCCATTTTGTATCGAATGTCACACTTTGAAACGTAACTACTTTAGGGCCAAATTATGGACTGACTGGTAAACGTCTGGTTATTACCTAGCAGGTACTTTCTATACCCTAGATAATAGGAAATACCTGGTACCAGACACTTACTAGTAGGTCCATAATTTGGCCTTAAGTTAAAACCAATTGGTTAAAAAATGACGCTTTTTAATTAATGGTTGATTTGTCCAAATGACTGATCGGTCAATCAAGGATAATACATTACTACTACAGGATAGCCTATCCTCGTAAGGCCTGTGGGAAACAAATTTGAAACCTCCCACCACGCAAAATCACCAGTTGTGATGTAGCCAGCATGTCCTTTCTTTCCTTGACGTAGGCTGTTTCACAGCCGGCTGTTTGCACCACAGGTATGATTCCGCAGGGTATTGGCCTATTATGTTAATCAAAATTAAATAGTATTTTTCATCATAAATTTAAATTCTAAACTACGACCGCTAGTGCAAAGTGCAAACATCTGACGATTTACTTATGACGTCGGAAATGGTGAGACACCAATATGGCGGCGAGGCTGATAAGCATTATATGCAATCCTTAGTAATGTGTATTATCCTTGTCGGTCAATCGCTTAAAATTAGCTTCCGTTTATTATCAAAATTCTCAATGTTTCAAACTTCAAGTTGGCAACACTGTAAAAATAGGTAATAGACTATTGCAGTGTTCTGTAACGCTTTTCCAAAACCTGGAGTTCTTTGGACAAGGAATTCAAGAAATTTTCTTGCACGAGTGATATTTCGATAGGAAATATAAATGGAAATTAAATTTCGAAGTAATAGTGAATCAATTAATAATCTAATTTACAAGTGCATTGAATTGTGAAAAAAAAAGGCAACGCCGCTTTAAAACAATTGACGTTTCAAAGTAGGCCTTGTAATTTTTGACAACCGATACAAAATGGCGTCTTTTTTTCGGCCCCATTTTAGTGTTTTTCTACTGCAAAGTGGCCTCAAAATCACCAATCAGAAGTAAGTTGTAATAATTAATGGTTTGAAATAAAAATAGTGGAATTTTTTGTTAATAATAAATGCATTTTAAGCAATGAAGTAGTTAGAAGGTTGGAATAGCCCTTTGCCTATCTACTCAATACATATATTTTCGGCCAACATTAGAGTGAGAGAACAGGAGAGATCCATGAGATCTTCTTGCCCTTACTTAGCGCTATCTCACTCAGAGTTAGAGATATGGGAGATCCAATAGACTTCTTGCCCTTACTAGCGCTATCTCATTCTGGAATCAATTGAATGACGCAAAGCTCATTCCATACCTTCTTTCTACTTCATTGATTTTAAGTCGGTAATAGAATATTGCAGTTCTCTGTAACGTTTTTCCAGCTGGCAACTGTAGTAGCCGATATATTGAATAGTGCAGTAAATTTTGGGTTTACAACGGACAAAAAAGACACTTTTTCTTTTTTAAATGCTTCAATAAATATATTTATTTTTGCTAAATTATTGTACAATATTATTTGGTCATCAACAATAATAAAAATACAAAAAAAAAAAAATAATACAAAAAGTTCGAGATCGAAAATTAGTGTATACAATATAATAAAAAAATCTCTTCAGAGGTACTAACCCCAAAGTTTTGGTACAAAATTATGATTGGTCTGATTGGTTATTGGAACAAGTCCAATCAATACCTGATTGGTCGTTTCAAATAAATACTTAAATTTAACTAAAAGCAGCTTAAGTTTGGGATAAAAGCTGAGTGGCTTCGGGCGAGGTCAGTTCCATAAGCTGTTGCAAAAATACTGTCAGTTTTTCGACGATTCTTGTGTACTTTTTGGGTTTATTTTGCCATTTTATACACAAATAGTAAACTGGAATGCCTAAAATCAAAAATAAAGTCAGCTACAAGTACTTGAGACATCGATGTGTAAACAATGACGCCATAGAAGTTACTATTTATGCAGCCTCCTTTTTTAAACAACCTTGATTATTGACATAAAAATCTAATGCCATCTTGCATACTAATGACGTCATAAAAGTTATTACACAACCTCTTCTTTTAAAAAGCCTTGATTATTGACAGGAAAATCTAATGGGTTATGAAGTCACTATAGATATTATTACCTGATAAGGTTATTGCCGCTCCGATAACGGTGTTCATCGGTTGGTCCGGTATCGGAAAAATAATCAGGAATGCGCACGCGCAAAGGAAAATAACCGGAATCGACGTGTGCACCCTAATCGGGCGTGGCGCATTCGGTTGCTTGTATCTGAGCAACAGCATTCCCACTATACTGGCCGCTACCGAAAACCACAAAATTTGGCCGTAGTAGTTTATCAGGACTATGACGTCACGAACGAAGAGCATCGCCAACGAAGCTACACACTATAAGAAAAAGAAACAAAGTTGGCAACATTGTAAAAGTCAACTTTTGATTATTTTTACCGTGAATATTAGACTGGGTATCGGTGTTTCCCTCTTGACGTGAATGTAAGAAAACAATTTGGGCAAGTGATTTTCCTGGGATCCGGTTAAAAATAGACGGGCTGACGTGAAGAGAATTCCGTTCACTCCACCAAAACAAGAAAGTGCTACAAAAATCGGAATTATCCAGCTGTAGCTGCCGTACATTTTCATTCCGAAGGACTAAAATTTGAAGAAAAAAAAAATTAGGAATTTATTTTAACGTTGGCAACACCGTAAATTGTAATTTTACTCTGAATTTTACCTAAGTTATCAATAAGCAAATTTGAACGTTGGCAACACTGAAGTTTTTAATTTTAACATCATTTCTAATCAAAGTTTGTTTTAGTTCAACAGTGTTGCCAACTGTAATCAACTAATAATGAATTTATGTTATTTTCAACAAACAAAAAAAAAATTATTAAAAATTTGTTCCAAAAATTTCCAACACAATGAGTTTCCATAAGTAATTTTGTATTATAATAATAGAACTCATGAATTAATTTTAGCGTTGGCAACACTGAAAATGATAATTCTACCCCATTTTCATCAAAATTTGTTCCTGTTCAACAGTGTTGCCAACTTTAATCAAATTATTTTTTTTTTTTTGAATTTTCTAGTGAATTTTTATTATTTTCCAACGAGTTTCTAAAACGTTTCAACGAGTTTTATGATGTTCCAACGAGTTTCTAGTGTTTCAACATATAAAAAAAAAACTAGTTGATTTTTTTTTAAAATTTTCTAATGAATTTTTAACATTTTCCAACCAGTTTCTAAATCGTTTCAACGCGTTTTTATGATGTTCCAATAAGTTTCTAGTTTTTCAACATGTTGAAAAAAAATCGTTGAATTTTTTTTTGAATTTACTAATGAATTTTTAACATTTTTCAACGGGTTTTTTCAACGTTTCAACGAGTTTTTATGATGTTCCAACGAGTTTTTAATGCTCTAGCATGTTGAAAAAATCTTGTTGAATTTTTTTTGAATTTTATTTTGGAATTTTTCAATGAATTTTTAACATTTTCCAATAATTTTCTAAAACGTTCCAACGAGTTTTAATGATATTTCAATGAGTTTCTAGTATTTCAACATGTTGATAAAAACTCGCTGAATTTTCTTTATTTTTTTTTTTTTTTTAATTTTTACTGAATTTTTATCATTTTCCAACGAGTTTCTAGTATTTTAACCCGTTGAAAAAAACTCGCTGAATTTTTTAAATTTAATTTTTGAATTTTCTATTGAATTTTTATCATTTTCCAACGAGTTTCTCAAATGTTTCAACGAGTTTTTATGCTGTTTCAACGAGTCCCTAGTGTTTCAACATTCTAAAAAAAACTCGTTGAATTGTTTTAGTTTTTTTTTTTGAACTTTCTGCTAAATTTTTATCATTTTCCAATCAATTTTTTGAAAGGTTTCAACGAGTTTTTATGATATTCCCACGAGTTTCTTATGTTTCAACATGTTGAAAAAAACTCGTTGAATTTTTTTTATTTTGTTTTTGAATTTTCTATTAATCATTTTCCAACGATTTTCTAAAAAGATTTGAGTTTTTAAAATGTTCCAACGAGTTTCTAGTGTTTCAAAAATTTGTAAAAAACTCGTTGAATTCATTCACCAAGGAGTTTCTAAAATAGACTTTGCTAAAACGTTTCGATGAGTTTTTACTTTTTATGATGTTCCAACGAGTTTCTAGTGTTTCAACATGTTGAGAAAAACTTGTTAAATTTTTTAAATTTTTATTATTTTCCAACGAGTTTTTTAAAACGTTTCAACGAGTTTTAATGATGTTCTAACGATTTTCTAGTGTTTCAATATGGTAAAAAAAACTCGTTGGATTTTTTCAATTTTTTTTTTTTTTAACTTTCTAATGAGTTTTTATCATTTTTCAACAAATCTATAAAACAATTCAAAGTGTTTTTTAAAATTTTTCTATGAATTTTCTATTGAATTTATAACATTTTCCAACGAATTTCTAAAATGTTTCAACGAGTTTTTATAATGTTCCAACGAGTTTCTAGTGTTTCAACATGTTGAAAAAAACTAGTTGAATTTTTTTAATTTTTGTTTTTAAATTTTCTATTGCATTTTTAATTTTTTTCAACGAGCTTCTAAAATGTTTCAACGAGTTTTTATAATGTTTCAACAAATTCAAAAAAACTTGTTGATTTTTTTTTTTTTTAATTCTCCAATGAATTTTAATCATTTTCCAACGAGTTTCTAAATCGTTTCAACAAATTTTTTTGATTTTCTAACGAATTTCTAGTGTTTCAACATGCTGAAAAGAACTTGTTGAATTAAAAAAAAAAAATTGAATTTTCTAATGAATTTTCAATATTTTCCGATGAGTTTCTAAAATGTTTCAACAACTTCTTATGATGTTCCAATGAGTTTCTGGTGTTTCAACATGTTGAAAAAAACTCGCTGAATTTTTTAAATTTTTTGTTTTGAATTTTCTACTGAATTTTTATTATCTTCCAACGAGTTTTTTAAAACCTTTCAACAAGTTTTTATGATGTTGCAACGAGTTTCTAGTGTTTCAACATGATATAAAAAAAACGTTGATTTTTTTAAAAATTTTCCAATGAATTTTTATTTTAGTAGAAGAATATTGTTATAGTTTTTAATTAGAAGTTGTTGAAACATTTGAACTCGTTGAAAAATCTAATTAGAAGTCGTTGAAACATTCTAAAAACTCGTTGGAATACAATAAAAACTCGTTGCAATGCGTTTCAAATTTTTTCCAACGAGTTTTTATCACATTAAGATTGGCAGATAATAAAAACTCGTTAAAAAATCTAATTTAAACTCGTTGAAAAATCTTATTAGAAGTCGTTGAGAAACATTCTAAAAACTCGTTGGAATGCAATAGAAACTCGTTGCAACGCGTTTTTAATTTTTTAACGAGTTTTTGTCACATTACGATTGGCAAATAATAAAAAAATCGTTGAAAAATATAGTTTGAATTCGTTGAAAAATCTAATTAGAAGTCGTTGAAACGTTCTAAAAACTCGTTGGAATGCAGTAGAAACTCGTTGCAACGTGTTTTAAATTTTTTCCAACAAGTTTTTATTACATTACGATTGGCAAATAAGAAAAATCCGTTTAAAAATCTAATTTGAACTCGTTGAAAAATCCAATTAGAAGTCGTTAGACGTTCTAAAAACTCGTTAGAATGCAATAGAAACTTGTTGCAACGCGTTTCAAATTTTTTCCAACGAGTTTTTATCACATTACGATTGGCAAATAATAAAAATTCGTTGAAAAATCTAATTTGAATTAATTGAAAAATCTATTTAGAAGTTGTTGAAACGTTCTAAAAACTCGTTGGAATGCAGTAGAAACTCATTGCAACGTGTTTTAAATTTTTTCCAACAAGTTTTTATTACATTACGATTGGCAAATAATAAAAATCCGTTTAAAAATCTAATTTGAACTCGTTGAAAAATCCAATTAGAAGTCGTTGAAACGTTCTAAAAACTCGTTGGAATGCAGTAGAAACTCGTTGCAACGTGTTTTAAATTTTTTCCAACAAGTTTTTATTACATTACGATTGGCAAATAATAAAAATCCGTTTAAAAATCTAATTTGAACTCGTTGAAAAATCCAATTAGAAGTCGTTAGACGTTCTAAAAACTCGTTAGAATGCAATAGAAACTTTTTGCAACGCGTTTCAAATTTTTTCCAACGAGTTTTTATTACATTACGATTGGCGAATAATAAAAACTCGTTGAAAAATCTAATTTGAACTTGTTGAAAAATCTAATTAGAAGTCGTTGAAACATTCTAAAAACTCGTTGGATGCAATAGAAACTCGTTGCAACGCGTTTTAAATTTTTTCCAACGAGTTTTTATTACATTACGATTGACAAATAATAAAAACTCCTTGAAAAATCTAATTTGAATTCGTTGAAAAATCTAATTAGAAGTCGTTGGAACATTCTCAAAATTGGTTAGAATGCAATAGAAACTCGTTGTAACGTGTTTTAAATTTTTTCCAACGAGTTTTTATAACATCGCGATTGGCAAATAATAAAAACTCGTTGAAAAATTTAATTTCGACTTGTTGAAAAATACAATTAGAAGTCGTTGAAACATCCTAATAACTCGTTGGAATGCAATACAAACCTGTTGCAACGCGTTTTAAATGTTTTTCAACGAGTTTCTATCACATTACGATTGGCGAATAATAAAAACTCGTTGAAAAATCTAATTTGAATTCGTTGAAAAATCTAATTAGAAGTCGTTGAAATATTCTAAAAGTACAAAGAATATGAAAAAGTATTAATTCAACGAGTTCCCATGAATACATACATTTTTGGCTTCTAACAATAAAACTCAAAGTTTGGCAACACCGGAAATTGCAATTCTACTGCCATTTTCTTTATAAATCCAATTGCAATTTCAACTACTGTAACGCTATTTTGGTCAAAAATTTCATTAACAGTGTTGCCAACTTTTATCAAACAATAACTGATTTTCAAGCATTTATTTCTTACCAGAGCCACAGCATAGGAACTTTCCATTTCCACCCCGGATAAAACGGCAAAGTAGGCCACATTGGCTAGAACATAGACGCCAGTGACTACCGGCAATGCGATCCATATGGCTCTTGGTAAATTCCTGAAATAAAGGACGAGAGGATAATTGAATTTTCTTTTATTGTTTTACTAAGGGCAGGTTTATGAACGGATAAAAACGCAATCTATGATCCTATTCCTAATTTTATCTTTTAGTTAGATAGTTTATCGGTAAATGAATAAACCGGGCCTAGAAATAGTCAATTATCGTTAAATGGAAACATAACTTTTAGGGTTTTATCGATACATTAAATTTATTGATTTTCTCGCTAGAAATCCCAAATAATTGGTTGAATTTCAGTAAAACCTCGTACAAATCCTTATAGAAGAGTTCTTTTTCCCTTTCCTTGACAATAACAGATTTTTCCTTTTACGTGCCGATGTTTAATTCATCGTTGAAGATTTCCGTTCATTTCTTTTATCCACTCTACTCAGGTTTTAATGAATAACAATAAAGATAATTTTTTATTGTTTTATTCAATTGACAAAGAAACCATTGTAATTTATAAAGATAACATTAGAATGCTATAGAATTGATAAGAACTGGAATATTTTTTAAATAATTTTTAAAGGTTTTTTTAAATATTTGTGGTCGTTTTATCAACTTTCATCGTCCTTGTCTTTTGCATATTGATAAATAAAGACATACCATGTCAATAATTGACAATGGCAGTTCCGATTTACATGATAGTTGACAGATAAACAATACTCTAAACGTCAATTGTCAGTGTAGAGTAGATTATTTTTTGTCTCGCTTTGACACATTTGAATTGAAAAGAAACCGATTAAAACTCACTTGTAAGGATCTTGAAGTTCTTCGGTGACGAAATTCAAATAGTTCCAGCCGCCGAAAGCGAATAGGCCCGAATAAAAGCTCAGAGCAATACTGGAAAGATTGTAGTCGCCCTCGAAGGCGTCGTTAAAGTTTTCCGTATGACCTGGAAATAATTTTCGAAATTTAAAATTCATAAAACGCGCCAAACAATGACGTATAAAGGATACTGATTGCGTTGTTGCCAGTTGTAACTGAATATAGTGCGTCAGTGCTCAGATAATGAGTCAATGTCAAAGAAAATTCTCACCTGTGAACAAATAATAAATCCCGGTCATAATGATGGCGACGAGAGCTACAAGTTTGGCAACAGTGAAAACGTCTTGAATCCTCATCGCCCATCTTGTGCTCAAGCAGTTGATGGCGGTCAGCAAGCCTGGAAAAAAAAGGTATTGTGACGTCACAAAAGTATATCTGTCTCGTTTTGATAACATAGATTAAACAAAGATAGAAACGATTTTTTTATTAAAATAAAAACTTCTTTTAGTAGTTAATTATCTTGCTCCAAATATAGAGACAATAAACTCTATCTTGGATGATTTATGTCATTGTTAAGTGCACGCTTCGTTAGAGACTCGATTCAAAGACGAAGTTAATTAAGCCTCTTTTGAAACTGGATATTTGGATTAAGGTTATTCATACTTGATAACAAGGAAATATTAAGTTTTAGAGTCAATGTTTGACTTGTAATTAAGCTTTTTCGTTTAAATAAGCCAATTTTACGAGTAAAAAATAATCAATAGGCGAATTCGGTTAAAAGATGACACTGTTGACAGAAACTCACGTGATCTTCCATTTGAAGTCCCAAAACTGATCACGTGGTACCTGTAATTTTTTTTTGCTTTTTAAGGATTTACCGAACTTGCCTAATGATTTTCTTAAGCAAAGCAAATGTGGTGAAGTTTAAGTAGCTGCTGTATTGTTTTGTTATCCCTGTTCTTCTCATTAAAAGAAAAAAAGATGAAAGATGTTTCGAGCATTCAGTGTTTCATGACGAACTTACTTTACTTTAAAAGTAGTTTGTGACTTGTGTCATTTCTGAGGTAACATCTGTCAAGAAATTACATTAATGACAGTTATGTAGTTGGCCATGAAAATTTATTATTGAGGTTCAAAAGGCAAAAAAACCATTTCTGGATGACGTGATTCGATCTCAAATAATTTCCAACCAGCGGAAAAATTGATATTTTGAAAACGCTAGGGTTTAATTTGACATTTGTTGAGTTTATTTGTCAAAATATTTCATGTCAAAAGTTTTCTTGTCAAATTTTATGTCAAAAAAGTTTGAAAAACAATTCAAATTATTTACTTTTGAATTGATTTCTTTACCCCAGAGCGAATCATGATAAAAAGATTGAATGGCGCCATTTTGATGTTAGAATTCTATTTTGATTAGCAGATGAGTTGTCATTAATCTCTTGGTCTATCTTTAAGATGAATAAACCGGGCTTTAGGCTCATCCTACTTCAATCTATTTATTTGCTTTATTGTTGCGATGTTGTGTAAACATCATCTATACCGGCGGTTTGAGGGTGAATTTCGGGAAATGGAATGAACGTGTAAAAGGAGATGTGACATCATAACCCATGCGCAGTGATAAGTGCGCAGCTGCTTGTGACCTAAAGTGGCATTAGATGTTCATGTCAATGATCAAGGTTGTTTAAAAGAGGCGGTTGCGTAATAACTTTTATGACGTCATTGGTATGCAAGGATAATACACATTTGTCCACAGGATTGCTTTTCGGCCTAATTTTTGGGAATCGCGGCCATATTGTGTAACACCATTGACGACGTCATCAGCTACGTCGTCAGCTGTTTGCGCCAGCGGTCGTAGTGTTGAATTAAAAGTCCGTCCTCCTTTTCTAACAAATAAAAGTGACAGGAGACTTTTTGGCAAAATATGCCATCCAAGTTGACCATGGATTGATACATGTACATTTATTTGGCAAATACTTCGTTGTATAATTTGACAGAAGCGACTATTGACAGTTACCTTCAAGAACCAGGAATAGACAACACTTGATTGAAAAGGAATCTTTATTATTTGTTAAATTGACAGTCCATCATTGGCACTCCTTTCCTTTTCTAATCAATGAGAGTTTACGATGCCATCAAGTTGACCGTCAAAAGATCGACAAAAGTGAGCTGGCAACGTTGTATAAGTAATGCCAACTTTTGAATAACCCTAGAGTGTACCAGCTCTTGGTTAAGAAACCTTCAATTAACACTTTTCCGACTTAACTAGGAAGTTAACCCAGAATTAGATTTGACCCGGGTTCAGCAAAATCTACGAGTTATTCCTTGATTGATAAACCGGCCCTTATAACCATTTCTACCAACTATTTTAGGGAAGCCCTAACAATAGGTATGCCTTAAACTGACATTTCTCCATGTAAAAATGTCATTTTAGGGAATACTTATCGTTAGGGCTCCCCTAAAATAGTTAGTGGAAACGGCCATTAATGTACATACTAAAACCAAGTATGCATCAAGCAAATGATGACCCGTTGCTATGTCATCACTGATTCTTCGGCGTGGTGGGAGACTTGATTGAGATTCAATGTACACAGGCATTATCCTTGGTTTCGTTATCGCAAACAGATGACATCATTAGGCGGTTCTTATATGGAGGTTTGCATTATATTTAGGCATATAGATGACGTCATAAAGGTTATTAGGCAACCTCCCTCTTTTATATTAAATTTCCTTGATCCAAACCGCAGATGCCAAGATTCAATATGGCGGCAATAATCAACCATTTGTGACGCCATTTTAACGTTAAATTACTTTGAATGAGAGATTTTTCATTTATCTTTTGGTCTACTTGATTCGATGGTCATCTTTTTTTAAATTATTTTGATCAGGGCTAGTTTATTCACCTCCTGATAAACTGCCAGGCATGCAATTTGACAGATAAAAGCGCAATCTGTAATTCCATTTGGTCAGCTAATAGCTAGTTATCCATCAACCAACGGAATGATACAACGATAAATTTATTTTACAGATAGTTACCAGCAAGTTTATCTCAAAATGAATAAAACTTTGTCCACCTCTGTCATTCATAATAGAATTTTAACGTTAAACTGGCATCACTGGAATCACAAATTCTTACCATTTTTGCCATATTGAATCTTGGCATTTGTGATTGGGCTCAAGGTTATTTATAAGGAAGTTGCCTGATTTCAAAATTCAAAAACCACAAATGCCAGAATTCAATATGGCGGCAATGGTCAAGCAATTGTGATTTGTGACACCATTTTACCGTTAAAATTCTATTTTGAATGACAGATATTTCATTCATTTCTTGGTCTACTTGGTTCGATGATCAATTTTTTTAAAAATTATTTTGCCAAGGGCCAGTTTATTCACCTTTTGATGAACTATCAGATATGCAATCTGACGGATTTTTATCCGCACAGATTGTGTTTTTACACAATCTGTTATCCCATTGGTCAGCTAGTTACCAGCAAGTTTATCTGAAAATGAATAAACCGAGTCTGAGCGAAATAATTTTAAAAACACCAGAGACAAATAAAAACTATGTCCAGTGGAAATCATTGCAATTGGCACACACTATGTAAATATCCCTCGTAATGTGTTAAATCTGACATACAGTAATAGCAAAATGCTGCACTTAAATAGATTTATTGGTTAGAATTTTGACTTAATACGAGGGATTTTAAAGAGTGTGTGCCAATTGCAATGATTCCGACTGTCCATCTCTGTTGCAAAATAGAATTTTAACCTTAAAATGGTGTTACAAATCATAAATCTTTGACCATTTCCGCCAAATTGAGGGCGAGTCCTCATGAGCGTAAGTTGACATTTCTGACGTAATCACGTGATAAAATAAAATGGTTGAATTTTATTGGTAAAATATTCGCCATGCTGGAGATTTTACCAATCAAATATCATCATATTATCACATGATTACGCCAGAAATGTCAACTTACGCTCATAAGAACTCGCCCTGAATCCTGGCATTTATGATTTGGATCCAAGTATGATACACACTACTACTACAGGATGGCCTATCCTCATGAGGCCTGTGTATAAGAAATCCCCTCTTCCCCCCAAAATACCAGTTGTGACGTAACAGCATGTTATTTCTCGCCTTGACCGTTGATTAATAGCTGACGACTTGGTTCTAACGTCGGCAATGGTGGCATACCAATATGGCGGCGATTACCAAAAATGAGGCCGATAAGCACTCCTTAGAGTGTGTATTCTCTTTGATTTGGATCAAGATTGTTTATAAGAAGGAGCTTGTTTGATAACTTTTCTGACGTCATCTGTATGCTTAAACCTAAGGCAAATCCAGCGATAATATACATTACCATTGCTTAACGACCTCATTTTTGGGAATCGCAGCCATATTCTGTGGCATCATTGACGACGTCATTAACTACGTCGTTAGTTGTTTGCGTCAGCCAGCGGTCGTAGTTTAGAATTCAAATTTATGATATTATTTAATTTTGATTAACTCAATAGGCAAAGGGGAAGATGCAAATGAGATCTAATAAAGGATTGTTTTAGGATATCAATTAATGTACTAAAATTAAGTATGCATAAAGCAAAAGCACGTAAAATTATAATTTGTGCTGCAAACACCGTACGTTAAGGCAAGAAACGACACGCTGCGTCATCACTGGTTCTTCGGTGTGGTGGGGGCTTGAAATTTGATCTATACAGGCATTGTGAGGATAAGCTATCTTGTAGTAGTAGTGCATATCATCCTTGGTTTGGTAATGGCAAACAGATGACATCATCAAGTGGTTTTTATGGAGGTTTGCATCAAAGGTTTTCAAAAGAAGGAGGTTACCTGATAAATTTTATGACATCATCTGTATTGTATGCCTCAATATAATGCAAATCTCTATTAAGACACCCTGGATGCGTCATCAAGTTACCCATTCCCAGACAACCTAACCTTGGATTTTGCATTATATTTAGGCATCTAGATGACGTCATAAAAGTTATCAGGCAACCTCTCTCAAACAACCTTGATCCAAAACACAATTTAGGATTTAATATGGCGGCAATAGTCGAGCATTTGTGATTTGTGATGTCATTTTAATGTTAAAATTCTATTTTGAATGACAGATATTTCATTTATTTTGCTAAGGGCCAGTTTATCCACCTTTCCATAAACCATCAGATATGCAATCTGATGGATAAAAACACACTCTGTTATCTCATTAGTCTGCCAGTTATCCGTCGATCAATAGAATTATAGAACGATAAATTTATCTTGCAAATAGTTATCAACAAGTTTATCTGAAAATGAATATACCGGGCCTAAGCAAAATATTTTGAAAAAAACCGCCATCAAACAGTAAATCAAGAGATAAATAAAAAAACTTTGTCCACTTCTGTGATTCAAAATAGAATTTTAACATTAAAATGGCGTCACAAATCACAAATGTTTGACCATTTTCGCCATATTGAATCCTGACATTTGTGATTTGAATCAAGGTTGTTTATAAGATATTACGTATTCTGACGTCATCTGTATGTCTGAACATATCTAATGAAAATCCAAAGGATAATACACATTACTATTACTACTATAGGATTGCTTATCGGCTTAAATCGTTTTTGTGAATCGCGGCTATATTATGTAGCACTATTGACGACGTCATCAATTACGTCGTCAGCTGTTTGCGCCAGCGGTCGCAGTTTAGAATTTAAATTCATGATAAAAAATATTATTTAATTTTGATTAACATGATAGGCAAAGAGGAGGATGTAAATGAAATCTAAAAAAGGACTATTTCAGAATGTCAAATATAGTACTAAAATTAAGTATGCATAAAGCAAAAACTCGTGGAATTATAACCTGTGGTGCAAATATCCTATATCAAGGCAAAAAACGACACTACGTAATCACTGGTTCTTCGGCGTGGTGGGAACAATGAACTATAAATTACACCTACCTGGAATGACCCGCCGATCTATAAAATTGAGGCAAATTGAGATGGAGAATGTGGGGGATACTTATCTCTATTTAGCTTTTTAGCGAATTATGGAAATTTTTCCTTGTCTAAAAAATATTATATTTGAGGTTATACCAAACCTAATGGCAATGAACCAGAGGGAGAAAGGTATCCCCCACTACTTGTTTCCATTATAAGCTATCTTTGGATGTATTAAGGGAAACATATCCAACAACGATCGATGTCATTCCAAGTAGGACGTATAGTTTATAGTTTATGGGGTGGGAGGCTTGAGATTTTATTAATACAGGCCTTATGAGGATAATCTATCTTGTAGTAGTAGTAATGCGTATTATCCTTGGTTTGGTAATGGTAATAGACACCATCAGGTGGTTTTTATGTAAGGTTATTTGAGAGAGGTAGGTTGTCTAATAACTTTATGACGTCATCTGGGGTGCCTTAACCTAATGCAAATCTTCATAAGATACCCCAGATGTGTCAAGTTACCCATTACCAGACAATCTATTACTTTAGGAACCTTGGTTTTTATGGAGGTTTGCATTATGTTTAGGCATCTCGATGACGTCATAAAAGTTATCAGACAACCTCCCTCTTTCAAACAACCTTGATCCAAACCACAAATGCCAGGATTCAATATGACAGATTGGTTCGATGGCCATTTTTTTCAAAATTATTTTGAATAGGGCCAGTTTATTCACCTCCTGATAAACTGTCAGACGTGCAATTTCTATTGGTTGGCTGGTTATTCGCCGACCAATAGAATTAGAGAATGGTAAATTTATCTTGCAGATAGTTACCAAAAGTTCACTTGAAGATGAATAAACCTGGCCTTAAAATTAATTTTAATTGATTCAAATCAACATAATACACATCACAAATGCTTGACCATTGCCGTCATATTGAATTCTGGCATTTGTGGTTTGCATCCAAGGATAATACACACTACTACTACAGGATGGCCTATTCTCATAAGGCCTGTATGTAACAAGTCTCCCTCTACCCTCCCACGCTAAGCAACCAGTTGTGACGTAAGCAGCATGGCGTTTTTCGCCTTGACGTAGCTGTTTAAATAGCTAACGAATTAGTTATATGACGTCAGTAATGGTTGAAAATCAATATGGCGGCGATTATTAAAAACGAGGCCGATAAGCACTCTTTAGTGTGTATTCTCCTTGGTTTGAATCAAGGTTATTTGGGAAGAGAAGATTGTTTGATAACTTCTATGACGTCATCTGTTTGCCTAAACAAAATAAAAATTTCCATAAGAATCATCTGATGACGTCATCTGTTTGCCATTATTAGACAAACAATTAAAATTTTGCCAATGATATCGGCAACGTGTTCACTAAACACGCCTAAAGAAGTTTTCACTTAAAAAAAAGGAAAAAATTTAAATCACATTCTAAACCCTCTATTAATGATTTTTGTCACAAAATTGACGTTTAGACTATGAAATATTAAGTAAATTTTTCCAAAAATAAAAATTATATATAGATCCACAAGTTATTTTTTTTTTTAATTGAAATTTTCACAAGACTAAGGTCCGGTTAATTCATTTTCAAATACACTTGCTGATAACTAACTTGCGTTTCTATTCATCAGATTGTATATCTGATAGTTAATCAGAAAATTGATAAACAGGCCTATAAATTTAAAATAAGTTTTAAAAACTTGTAAAAGTGATTTTTCCGTCAGAAATTTGACAGTAATTGTGTCAGATAATGACAGGTAAACGTTTTGATAAAATAAAAACCTTCGAAGAATTTCTTAGATAGAAAAATAGTTATTTATTATACAAGGGAAAAAAGTATTAGATTTTAGCGCGAGGTGTGAGCGTTAAAAATCTTACTTTTTTCCCATGTATAAATATATACATTATTTTTTTCTGTGACGGGAAAATCTCACCATTTTCCATCTATACATTATTCTCTTTCTGAAAAAAAATTGACTGGCACCTGTTACTTTTTTCCCTCGGGAAAAAAATTTGACTGGCATCTGTTTCTTTTTTCCTATGGGAAAAAAAAAATCACTTTTTTCCCATGGGAGAAAAAGTGACATTTTTGCTCTTATCAAGGTAGGTACTAAAAGTCTACTTTTTTCATGTCACAGAAAAAAATAAATTATTATAGACGTTTTCACAAATGTAGCGTTTCTATTGTGACAACCAAATAATGACGTTTAGCTATCAACAAAAAAGAAAAATGACAAGTGAAAATGTCAAATTTTGACAATTTAAGCGTTTCCAAATTCACATTTGTTCAAAATTTGTTATGTACAGGGTTATTGGTTATAAATGTCACCCCCCTCTATCTTTTTTATTTGACATTTTAGAAAAAAGTGCCCCAAATAAAAAATGTATGGTTGAAATTAAATTTTTTGAAAATTTCACTTTTGCATATACAGTGTGTTTCAAAAAAGCTGGTCGTGCACCAACTTATTTCTTATTTTAAATTGAATACTCTGTATATTATTTAATATTCGGATTCTACATCAAATTCTGAGCAGATTTCATGTGATATACTCTATACTTAAGTTCAACTGTTTTGGAAATATTGACAGTTGAAAATTGACTTTTTTGTAAATTTGACAGGCTGTTAAACCTAAACGGTTAACTTTTGAGCAAAACCGATCTTAAATTTTTTTCCAAGATTTTCACAAGTTATCATTTGATACCAACTTTGAATTTAACCGAAGATTAAATTTAATTGGAATAATTCAGTCATGGATCAAATTCAAAATTAATGTCAAATATTGGTGTCAACTGATAGTTTAAAAAAATCTAAGATAAAAATGTAAGATCGGTTTTGCTCTAAAATTAACCGTTTAGGTTTAACAGCCTGTCAAAGTTGCAAAAAAAGTCAATTTTCAACTGTCAATATTTCCAAAACAGTTGAACTTAGTTATAGAGGCTATGACACATGAAATCTGTTCAGAATTTTACGTAGAATCCGAATATTTAATAATATACAGGGTATTCTATTTGAAATAAAAAATTTGGAGCACAACCAGCTTTTCTGAAACACCCTGTATATGCGAAAGTGAGTTTTCAAAAAATTTAATTTCAACCATAAAACTTTTAAAATGTGAAATAAAAAAGATAGAGGGGGATGACATTTATAACCAATAACCCTGTAGGTACCTATTTCATTGACAAATGTCAATTTGACAAATAAATGACAAAGTGACGTTCACAATTTCAAATCTATTTGCTTGAGGTAATTATTGTCCAATGTGGCAACAATGTGTAATAAAAATTCGATGTTAACAGTGTTGTTTTGTGTGTGATTAAAACTATTTTGATTTTAGAGTATGTGGCAACGTCGTGCTATTAAAACACTGTTGTCATAACAATTATTCGAATTACATTTTTAGAGAATTTTAGGAAATTCATTTTCAATTATGTACTTTATTTTTCACAGATTTATTTTGACTTTGGTTACACCGGAAATTGTAATTTTGCCGCCATTTTCTTTCAAATAATTATGACATTTTAGTGGGTTTTAACGTTGGAACACTGGAAATAGTAATTTTAATGTTATTTTAGTACAAGGATGATACACACTACTACTACAGGATGGCCTATCCTCATAAGGCCCGTGTGTAACAAATCGCCTCCCCACGCCAAACAACCAGTGGTGACGTAAGTAGCATGACGTTTTTCGCCTTGACGTAGGCCGTTTAAACAGCTGATAACTTAGTTATGACGTCGGCAATGGTTGAAAACCAATATGGCGGCGATTACCAAAAACAAGGCCGATAAGCACTCCTTAGAGTGTGTATTCTCCTGCCTCCATACAAACAGTCTTGCCAATTCAAGTTAATATAAACTGTCACTGTTAAATGTTTAAGAAAAAAAAAAAAGAAATGTTGGCAACACTGCTGATAATTTAAATAAAGCCGTTTGTTAAAGTTAAAATTGATTAAATCATAAAAAAATACATACATTTCAATCCAACGAAACATTTCAAGATTATGTACAAACATAATCAAAGTGTAAAGAAATATTTGTATTTGTGTAATAATTGTAAAAAAAACTTGCAATCATTATCCATTACGTAAAACCATACTTTTTCAATTAGGAAACTAATTATATTTGCCATTCCTTGAGCGATAATTATTATTATTTAATTTATTATTAAAAAAAATCTACATTTAAATGTCAATATGTACTTACATAGACAAGCCGCAGCTAACAGCCGGATAGCGTTATCAGGCGGTCTGCATTCGGGAAAAAAAGGTTTGGCTGCGTATTCGGCAAAAGTAATAGCTACTATTGCTTGTGTAGTGGGCCTTAAACAAAAATGAGAACAATTTAAGGGTCGATTTATCCATTTTCTTACTGATAAAAACGCAATCAACAGTGAACTCATCTGAAGATGAATAAACTGGGCCATAGATTACTTAAACAAAAAGTTACCTGATAATCAGTATAGCCATCCATAATCTCAGAAAAGCGGCTAAAGGACCGAAAGCGACGTAAATGTAAGCGTAATCGCCTCCCGATCTTGTAACGGAAGTGCCCAATTCCGCATAGCATAATGCTCCAAGCATCGAGAATATTCCAGATAAACTCCAGATCAAAATGGACATTCCGACCGAATGGCTGGCTTGGTAGACTCCGGTCGGCGAAACGAATATACCACTACCTGAAGAAAAAAATAAATATTATATTATTTTATTTGTACAATGGGACATCCTGTATAACTGGAACCAAATCGATATATACAGGGTTGCCGTTATGTGTAGAAGTTTGCATACATTTCAATAAAAAAGCGTTGTGTAGCCATATTTCAAAAACCAAATCAAATGGAGGTTTGATTACGATGAAAATAAAGAGGAACTTTCGTTTGGAAAAATTAGGTTACACATTGCATCTTAAAACCGGTAAACTGGGCAACATTGTAAATATAACCATTGAATTGGGCATTCCCAAAAACCCCTAAGTCCTTTTCGCGTGGTTTAAACTAACCGGGTTACAAAACGGTTAGTTCAAATGATGACGTCATTGAAAATGTCACTTGAAAACGAACGGTTAGAAAAATATTTCAAATTAGGAAATCGAACGACCTGTGAATATTTTTAATTTTCTACCGTTCTTCCTAAATCGGTTATACAGTGACGTCATCGACATTATTCGAATTTAAGGGGTATGTTAAACCGGAGCCACATGAAAAGGGCTCTAGTGTAGCAAACATAGAAAATATTTTTTGGTGAGTGTGTCTCAAAAATAAGACTGTTTTCATACATAATGACAATCCTTTATAAATTGATTTAGTTCCCGGTGGGACACCCTGTATATAATTTGTGTTTTATAATTATAATTAAAATTAAGTAAATACTGAAAATCTTTTACACAATTAATTCTATTGTCTATATCTCAATAAACCTAATATAAAAAAAAATAGACACTTTGATGAAATACCAAATAAATATAAGAGCTATAAATATTGCATCATTTTTATTTAAATTGAGTGAATTTCATTGGTTGAAAACAGTCTTAAACAGTCAGAAAACTCTAGTTTCAACCAATGAAATTCACTTTAACTGGTTTGTGATTTCTGCAGAAACAGACCTAACATAAAACAATAATAAATATTATTAATTAACAAAATTCAAAATTAATTACTCACCAATTATTGTTCCAACAATCAAACCAACCCCATTGACTAAAGTAATTTTCCTTTGCAATTTTGGTGAATCTTCTTCGTCTGTTTCAAAGGGCTCAATTTGCTTATTCATAGTAGAATCGGTATTACCCGTGCCGTTAATTTTCGAAACCATTTTTTTTTCTTTTTATAAATTATTTCATTTTTATTCAATTAAAAAATAAACCATGTGCTTTTTAGCCGGCAGCGGAAATTTCGGTGTAGTCGAAACGCGACCTACTACTACGCTACTACTCTCTCTCGACCTTCTGCGGGGTTTGTGTTACAAGTTTTACAGTTTCGACCGCGTTTTCAGGACTGCAAAGTTAATTAGCACGACTCGTGATTGGTTTGTACTTGAATTGTACTAATTTTAAAAGCTTTTGTTTAACTTCATTTGTATCCCAACTAGCAAAATGGAATTCTTTAAAGGACGAATAGTGTTTTTTTAAGGAGTGTTTGGTTTTATTTTATGTCCTAGAATTTTGCAATCAACATTTCACTTTTTACTTCTACTACTGGACCTCTATTCTCAAAACCAAGGAACGATTGCTCTGCCTTTATCAGTGTTATGGAAATATGAATATGGGTGACAAAGACAGAACCTTTGTTCTCATAAGAAAGTTGCTTTCCTGTTTCGAGAACAAGGATCCTGAAGATATTAAGCTGGAATTTGGGCGGCACAAATTTATCACCTTTCAATGCTATTTGATAGGAAAAGGTGATAAATTCACCTGCACCTGTGGACATCGGATTGTGAACAGGATATAAAGATATAAATGCTATCATCTTACATCAAATATGGCGGACGTTCTAAGATGGCGACTTATCATTTTTATCTTAGAGCAGGTTAAACGCTGTCCCTCCCTACGGACATAAAGAGTAAGAACGCGCTATTCTGCTTATGAAACTAAAGTGAAGTAAGCCTACCATATTATTCTAATAAAAAACCGGGACTTTTTTTCGTTTTTATGAAGCAGATGTCTCATGTATTTATACAGAATATAGCGCCGCAGGCGATTTTTTTTTTTTTGGGACCACGCCCAATTTTATTGTTCTTCATGTAAATAGGTATACAGTGTGTCCCAGATTCGCTTCTCTATATAGGGATCTCGACTCCTATTATACCCACAGCAAAGGTTAAATGGGGAAAGTTCTAGAGGAAGCTAAGTGCATTCGATAATCGGCTTCAGATTCACGATCGCTCAATTAGAGTTGGAAATATCGGCGAAAAACCGAAAATGGTGGATTTCGTTTTTTGCCAGTTAACCCGAAACGGTTAATTTGACAGCTGTGAAATTGTGACATTATTAAGATACTTTTTTAAGACCAATGAGATAGCGTGCATGACAGGTCTCAATCGTCCCGCAACCCGCCTCAACTTTCATTTTTCTTATGGCCGCCATATTGAATTTTTCGATTTTTGGAAAAAGCATAGAATTTCCAGTCTAGTGATGTGTCACAAGTGGATAAAAGATTTGAGTGTCATCGCAAACTTACACTTCGTAAAGTTAATGTCTGGCCAACGGTTATGAAGCTACGGAGTAAGGGAAATCAAGTTGAAAAAAAAATGGTTGTCGGCTGATTTCATCCATAAAATACTTACCCAGGTGCGTGCGGAACTTTTTGGAAGTATATCGTACACGAAAATCGACAGACGAAATCACCGCCATTAGATATTTGAATGTAAGTCGATATTTCAAGATGGCAGTCATCGGAGGAACACGGATGAGAACACTTCTTCCGCTACCACACCGCCTTTGAAGATGACTACCGCAGCAGTAGACGGAACGAGTATTACTAGATCACGGCATTATAACTTGGAAAAAACTTTTTTACTCTCTATACCGTTGATTTTGGCACACCAATTTCACGTTCTACAGTTCTTACTGATGCACTAGGATTTTCGTTGACAGCTAGTGAAATGTTTCTGTCGCGATTTCATTTATCAATATTTTATCCGCTTCTCGAAGGCCACATGGTTAATTAAATTAACTACGATTTCTGTGAATTACGTTTTATGAGGCTGCCCTCGTTCGGGGTACATCTCCAAATACCTTGCTGAGGTAATGTCGGCGTTTCAGAGTGACTGCAATTACAGCACTAACAAGTCAAACCTTTTTTCATTTAAATAAGGAATACCGGCCATTTCTCGATGATACTCAAATCTTTTATCCACTTGTGATACATCACTAAACTGGAAATTCTATGCTTTTTCCAAAAATCGAAAAATCCAATATGGCGGCCATAATAAAAATAAAAGTGGAGGCAAGTTGCGGAATAACAAAAGACGATTGAGACATGTCATACATGCTATCTCAATGGTCTTAAAAAAATGTCTGAATAATGTCACATTTTGACAGCTGTCAAATCAACCGTTTCGGGTTAACTGGCAAAAAACGAAATCCGTCATTTTCGGTTTTTCGTCGATATTTCCAAATCTAATTGAGCGATCGTTAATCTGGAGCCGATTATCGAATTCTCTCAGCTTTGTCTAGAACTTTCCCCATTTAACCTTTGCTGTGGATATAATAGGAGTCGAGATCCCTGTATAGAGAAGCGAATCTGGGACACACTATATACACTTTCGCTTAGGCATTTTAGTTTAAATTCGAAATTTCAAACTGGCGGCGCTGGCGCAGAAGCGAAGCGTAAACGATTTGTACGCAAACGCAAATGGCAAATGGGAAAACGCAAGAATTCAGAAAAATCCGTAGGCCGAACCCAAGGCTAATACACACTATTAATGATTGCTTATCGGCCACATTTTTGGTAATCGCCGCCATATTGGTGTGTCACCATTTCTGATGTCATTAACAACTCGTCAGCTGTGTGCACTAGAGGTAGTTTTAGAATTTAAATTTAGGATGAAACATATTAAATTTTGATTAACATAATCGGCAAAGAGGAAGTTGAAAACGAGATCTAAAAAACAGTCGTTTTATAACGGTAATAATTAATGTAGTAATACCAAGTATGCATAAAGCAAAAGCCCACGGAATCTTAACCTGTAGTGCAAACAGCTTACGTCTATCCGAGAAAGGACATGCTGCCTACGTCACAACTGGTGATTTTACGCGGAAGGGAGGGGGGATTTTTTCCACAAATGCCTTATGAGGATAGGCTATGCTTCAGTATATAGTAATATGTAGCATCCTTGGGCCGATCCCGCTAAGTTTTGAACTGTCAAATGTTAAATGCTGTCGAATAACCGATCGCACGTTGTAATTTGAAGACTAGAGATGAGGCGCAAAAATCGTTCTATTTATGCCACCGCGGAGACTAGGAATGTGACGCAAAAATCGAATTATTTAACGCTTTTCAAAATATCCGAGAATACGGGACATTCACGCGTCCCGACAACAAATTTGGGGACGCGGGACATGGACCTTGAAATAAGGGACTGTCCCGTATAATACAGGACCTATGGCAGTTTTTGGCAAGTGTTTGGCACCAAAATACAGGTAAAACATTGAATTGCCTATACCGCCATTTTTTTGATGCCAGAATACCTGGAAAAAAACGGTTTCATTTTCCAAATCCAGGTTACTACTCCTCTTTACCTTTACCTGTTTTAAGATTTTTATACATTAAGGTAGAATAATAAAGAGGCCAACTCATGAGACTATTGAGGTAGAATAATAAGCAGGCGAAATGATAAGACTAACGTGCAAGGATATTACACACTACACTACTACTACAGGATAGCTTATCCTCAAAAGGCCTGTGTAGTTCAAATTTCAAGTCCCCACCATGACAAAGCACCAAAGATGACGTAGGCAATGTGTCGTTTCTCACCTTGACGTAAAGTGTATACACTACAAATTATGATTTCGCGGGTTTTTGCTTTATGCATGCTTAGTTTTTCTACGATAATTAACATTTTAAAACAATGCTTTTTTAGATCCTGTTTGCATTTTCCTCTTTGCTTATTATGTGAATCAAAATGAAATAATATTTTCCATCATAAATTTAAATTCCAAATTACGACCGCTGGCGCAAATAGCTGACGACTTAGTTGATGACGTCACAATGGTGCTATACCAATAAAGTAGAAAGAAGGTTTGGAATGGATTTTGCGTCATTCAATTGATTCCCAAATGAGATATCGCTAGTAAAGGACATAAACAAAATCTTTCATATCTCTCACTCTAACCCTGAGTAAGATAGTGCAAGTAAAGGCAGGAAATACTCACGGATCTCTCCTGTTCTCTCATTCTAATGTTGGCCGCAAATATATGTATTGAGTAGATAGGCAAAGGACAATTCCAACCTTTTTATTACTTCATTGTGCTACACCCAATATGGCCACGTTTACCATAAACCAGGCCGATAAGCAATCCTTAGTAGTGTGTATTATCCTTGGGAATTCGGCACACACATTTGGTTCAGGTAACAATGCACGATTACTTAAATGCCGCCATTTTTAATCCAATATAGCGGACATTTTAAGATGGTGACTTATCATTTTAATAGCAACCCCATTATACATTAATTAATTTAATCTTAATCAGATCAGATAAAAAGGCTTGATAATCGAAACACAATATGTCAATGTATCATTTGTATCAACACAAACTATCCTCCTTCCATACAACCTTTAACTTAGCGTATGAGTCGGTGTAAAGATCACACAAAAAAAAGACGCACATCTGTGGTGACGTCACAAAGGTATCGGCGGACGGCGCTTGACAATTTTCTTTGCTTATATTTTATCCTTGGTTTGTGTTAATCGTTCGTTGGTTCAGTCTAACTGTTTTCTTTGACTCTTACGTTTTATCTTTCTTCTTTCTCATATAACGAAATTTGCCAAAACGTATGATGTTACATGAAGCATCTTTTAAATCACTCTCCATTTACGTCCAGATATGAGACCACTGCCTAAACCTTACTTCTTATGCAAAACAGCGAATTTTGCTCAACTAAGAATGAAGCTTTAGAAGTTTCACTTCAAAAAGTGACGTCATTAATGCGTCATTCTAAACTCTATATGGTGAACCTTACAATATAGCAACGGTAACCAAAATTTTTCAACGAACATATACTCCATGTATCTGGAACTGACCTAACAGCTGCATTCAATGTCCATTTTCGAGACAAAGTTTGTGGTAGTGAGAATGATAATAAAAGGGGTTGTTTGCTCTGTCATACGCGTATCTATATGTTTACGAGCAATGGTGGGGTATAATAAATCCACTTACCCTTGTCTAAGAATGGGTAAAATAAAGCATGGCCACGCGCCCTTTTTACTCCATTAAAAATTTTGCTTCAGG